TCAGTATTTTTTTGGGTCTCCTTTAGCAAGCTGTTGACTTGTTTTTCATGATTTTCTTTCAAAACTCTCAGTTTTTCCTCTACTTCTCTTACTTGCTTCTCAAAATCCCTTTTGAGCTCTTCCAAGGTCTGGGACTGATTCATATTTTTCTTGGAGTCTTTGGATGAAGATGCTTTGACTTTGTTGTCTCCTTCTGGTTGTATGTTTTGATCTTTGTCACCAAAAAAAGATTCTATGGTCTGCTTCTTTTTGCAGGGTTTGGTCATGATCCTAGTCAATTACTTGAGTTACAAACTCTTTGTTAAGGTAGAGGTCTGCTTCCAGTGTGGAGAACATACTGTCCCAAGCTTCAAGGGTTTGTGTAGCTGTTTTCAGAGATACTTCTAGGGACCTGTAAATTTTTAGTTCTTCCAAGGTGGTATGATAAGGGACGAGGTGTTTACTCCTTTCCTAGCCTGTGCTCTTGTCTATGAGTGACCACAAGCACTCTTTTCTGTCTTGGAACTGTGAGGAGTATTTCGTCTCCACCACCACTACAAGCTCCACCAAGCCAGCACTTCTCCTTGCCCCAGGACCGCCACCCAGAACCGTGACCCAGATCCAAGCACAGGCAAAGCAAGAGAATCCTGCACCAGCAGAAAGATCCCTGCAATCCCCCTCTGATCAGCCACTTGTTTCCCACTCAGTCTGTGGGCCGGAAGCTCAGGAGTCTGCCACCGCCCTGGGGCTGAGATCAGAGAATGGGGCTGGAACCCCACCATGCTTCTCTCTCTCCACTGCAGAAACAGACTTTTCCCACTGACCTAAGTTGTCTTTGGTGTTTGTGAGTTGAGAAGTCTGGAAACTGCCACAGCTGCCCGTGATTCAGTCTTCTGAGGCCTGCTCCAGGTTTGCTACAGCCTGTGTGCCCACCCTGAACTGTGCTCCTCTCCCTACCTGGCGCAATACACCTTTCTGATCAACCACCCAGGCTGTCTTTGCCTGGAAATTTGTTTCAATCTGTCTTTTTGTGAGTTCTGCTGCTTTAGAATTTGTTTAGAGCCATTTTTTATAGGTATTTGGAGGGGTTTGGGAGAGAGCTCAAGCAAGTCACTGCTTTTACTCTGCCATCTTGGCTCCACCCTCTCCCTATTCAAAGTCATTATTTTGATTAATTTGAGTTGACTCTATGAGGTCCTCTTTGTCATCTGTAAAATCTATTCCCTCAATTTCTTTTCCTTGTTTTATTGCTATAGCTCCCATTTCTAGCATGATATCCATTCATCCCAGTAAGAATTCATCTTAGTTTTCTCCCTCTCGTCTACCAGGAAGTTCCCTGCTCTTCTCCCCATTACTTGTGATCTTTGCTCTTGGTTTATGATTGATATTAAGAAAAGGCCCTTTCCATCCCATTTTTCTAGTGTTCTTTTTTTTTCTTCTTCCAGAAATGAGTGTTGTGCTTTGCTCAAAGCTTTTCCTGTACTTACTGATAGAATTATTTGATTTTGTCTTTTACTAATGTGGTTTAGTATGTTGATAGTTTTCCTAATATTGAACCAACCCTGTATTCTTGCTATGAATCAAACTTGATCCTAACATTGAATCTCTGTGATGTGTTGCTGCAGCCTCTTTGCTAATATTTGATTTAAAAATTTGGCTTCAAGGCTCATTAGGTAGATTGGTTTATGCTGAGTTTCTTTCCTGTTTTGATTCTGCAAGCTCTAGATATCAAGATGACATTTATATAATACAGGGAATTTGTTAAGATACCTTCTTTTCCTATTTTTACAAGCACTTTATGAAATGCTGGAATGAACTGTTCTCTGAATGGTTATAAATAAAGATAACCAATGTTTGTATAGCGCCTGCTTCATGGCAGGCACTGTGCTAAGCACTTTATAATTATCTCATTTGCTCTTCACAACTGTAAGGTAAATGCTATTATCCTTATTTTACATACAGGGAAACTGAGGCTGACAGACATCACGTGACTTGCCCAGAGTCACACTGCTAGGAAGTGTATGAGGCTAGATTTGAATTCAGATCTTCCTGACTCCAGGCCCAGTGCCCTATCCACTGCTACATCTAGCTGCCTGACTAGTAAAATTCATGAAAGTAGCATTTATGGCCTACACAGCAAATATAATTGGCAGAATATAAAAACTTGGATCCCCAGAGGTGATTCTTTCTTTAATAGTATTTTTTCCAATTACATGTAAAGACAATTTTTAATATTCATTTAAAATTTTTTGAATTCTAAATTTTTTTCTCTCTTTCCCTCCTTCTCCTTCCGCTCCCTAAAGTAGTAAGCAATTTGATATAGATTATGTATGTGCAATCAGGTAGAACATGTTTCCATATCAGTCATACTGTGAAAGAAGAAATAGATCAAATGAAAAAATAACATAAAAAAAGAAAGTGAAAATTGTGTGCTTCAATCTGCACTCTATTAGCTCTTTCTCTGGATGTGGATAGCATTTTCCTTCATGAGACCTTTGGAATTGTCTTGGATCATTGTATTGCTGAGAAAAGCTAAGTCTATTATATCTGATCATTGCACAATGTTGCTCTAACTGTGTATAATGTTCTGGTTCTGCTCATTTCACTCTGCATCATTTCATGTAAGTCTTCCCAGGTTTTTCTGAAATCATCTTGCTCATCATTTCTTTATAGCATGGTTGTATTTCATTACGTTGATATACCACAACTTGTTCAACCATTCCCCAACTGATGAGCATCCCCTCAATTTCCAAATTTTCCACCACAAAAAGAACTACTATGAATATTTTTGTATAAAGGGGTCCTTTCCCCTTTTTATGATCTCTTTGGGATACAGACCTAGTAGTGGTATTGCTGGATTAAAGGGTATGGATGGTTTTATAGCCCTTTGGTCATAGTTCCAAATTGCTCTCCAGAGTGGTTGGATGCATTCACAACTCCACCAATAGCCCATTAGTGTTCCAGTTTTCCCACACCCCTCCAACATCCAACATTTTCCTTTTTTGTTGTATTAACCAATCTTATAGGTATGAGGTGTTATGTCAGAGTTGTTTTAATTTGCATTTCTCTCATCAATAATGATTTAGAGCATTTTTTTTGTATGAACATAGATAGCTTTGATTTCATCTTCTGCAAAGAAGTGAGCCTTTCTAAAAAAGTAAAAGGGAATGTCTTACAAGATGACCACTCACTATTAATAAATAATGTGGATGAGTCGACACTTCCCTCATTGACACTTCTCCCACTAGGTGACTGTATATACAAGAGAGATGGACAACAAGACCTAGGCCTGATCAGTGGGAGTCAATATCTTGGGCACGGCCACATGCACTTGATATCAGTGGAGTCCAGACTATGCCTCAGAGTGCAGGAAGCTGAGGCTCGGGGCTGGCTATGCTTAAAAGGCTTCCAAGGAGGGACACACGTGCTTGTAGATTTCCACCTGATCTTGCGTGTGTTATCCTAAGCCCTTCTAGCTTGGTGACCATTAAATCTTTGTCATGTCTCACATATAGACTTGTCTGGTCAAGCTCAGTGGTACCAGTCAATGTCATTTCTATATCATCTGACCTCTCTCATCTGGACCTTTTATACTTTCCCATTGAAACTGTCCTGATTTAGCCATCATTCACTTTCTTGTGGACTATATTCTAAGTGGTCTCTGTGCCTCCAGTCTTTCCCAGCTTGAATCCATCTTTAACATTGCTGTCCTCCCTTATTCATGTCATGCCCCTGATTTAAAACCTATGCTGATTCTTCATTTCCTATGGGAAGAATTTCAAACTCCCCCCACCCAAATGTACCTTTGCTTTTCCTTGACTACACCCCCATACTCTCCCATGTTTCTTGCTTTGGTCAAGATGTTCATTCTCCTTAGAATGCCCTTCCTTCCTCCCAGCTCCATCCAAACACAGTTTGCCCTTGGAGTTTCTGCTCAAATGTCATTCAGTCTGTGACACTGTTCATGACTCCCTCTTTCTTCATCAAGAATTCTTCTCTCCGTTCTCTGAGCTCCTGTGGCACCTTCTACCCAGCCTTTTACTCCTAAGACGCGTCTCTTTTAAATGCCAAGATTCTTCTAGCAGTATTGTTCAGCTGTAAGCCATGAAACACTGGGGATGCCAAAGAATTGAGACTGCCAGTCACCCAAAGGGAAATGGTAAGAAGCATGGTGATGGAGACAAGACTGCCACAGGTGTGCTCGGTCTGATCCTGGAGTCAGAGCAGGGGCACTTGAATCTTGGCTTCAGCGCACAGTAGCTGGAAGATCTTGGGCTCCATCCCTCTAGTCTCTTACTTTCTTCAGCTACAAAACAAGGGGGCTAGATTTGATGGTTTCTGAACCCCCTTCTAGGTCTAGGTCTACAACCCTAAGATTCCATCCTTCTACAGCTCTGTTTCCATTGAATAATTGAACACTGGAAATAATGTTAAAGAAATTGGCCCTGGGGGCAGCTAGGTGGCACAGTGAATGGAGCACAGGCCCTAGAGTCAGGAGGACCAGAGTTCAAATCCAGCCTCAGACCAAACACTTACTAGTTGCGTGACCCTGGGCAAGTCACTTAACCCCAATTGCCTAAAAAAAAAGAGAGAGAGAGAGAGATATTGGCCCAAAGATGTGTAACTGGAAAGGGGGATGGGCAGTCCCACAGCAAAGGCCACAGAGCTAAATGGACATCTCATGTGCTCCACTTGTACCCACATCATGCTGAGAGATTAGGAGGAAGGCTTCTGGGACACTGAGTGCTTTAGTCCTATTGAGTATTGATTGGGGGATTTTGACAAGAATCAGGAACAGTGAGAAGGGGTGGATGGGTTTTAGAAGGAGGTGGACCTTTGGAAGGAGAGAGGAGTAGCAGAATATCAGAGTATGCTTCTTAGTGGCCCTATTAGGCTGAAAACTCCATTAGAACTGTTGCTGTTCCATTAACATAAATTGTTGAATCAATCAGTGACTATATGGTTATCAAAAGAAGTCAAAACAATGCACACAAAAGCAAATCAATTAACCAACAAGAGCCTTCAGGGAAATAATTGGTAGGGATTTATTCATATATTTAGTTTTGTTTTGAGCAATATGATAACTTGTGACTTTGCTAAAAACACCGTTTGTGGATGACTGATAACATTCAGATCGATTTGGACTAGCAGAACACCATGTGGCATTTTTCTTTTGTTTGGCCTGATCTAGCATGGTCTTGCCATGCAGAAAAAATCCATTTCTGTTGAGGGAGACGGTCTAATTAATTCCCAACATTATGAGGATGAGCAAAAGCCCAGCTAGATGTGCCCACTTTCCCGTGTCCAAAGGAATCACATGAATCTTGAGCCCATGTGGTAGAAGAGCTCAACCCACCAGCACCTAGGTGTTTTGCAAAGAAATGCACACTGGAACTAGAGAAGAGGTTGTGGGGAAATGCATTAACATTTATAATAAATGATTAACAATCACGACTCATTAGGAAGCCACCTGAAAGGGGTGTTGGATGTGTTTTCCAGTTTAAAGAAATAATGACTCCGAATGGATAGCTGGCTCATCTATTGTTCTAAGCAAATCATTTGAAGCTAGAATCTTGAAGAATGGGGAAGGAGAATCAGTCCTGCAGTCATGTTCTAGCTTTTTGTGTCTTGAGAGGGAGAAAGGAGGACCGACAGTCAGAATACCTGGCTTCTGCCCTAGCTCAGCTGCAAACTAGCCATGTAACCCTGGAGAAGGTCTTAGAATCACAGAATCTGAGAGTTGGAAAAGACCTCATTGGTCAACTTCCCAAATTGTATTCATACAACCTCTCAGGCACTGGTCATCCAAGGCTGACTTGGAAAGCCCCGGTGAATGAGAACTCACTTCTTTCTGAGGCAGACAATTCCTGTTGGATAGTTCCAATTGTTAGGAAGTATTCACTGACCCTGACCTAAATGATATAATTCTCTCAGTCCCTATTGTTCTTAATTCTATCCTCTGAGGCCAAGCAGAATGCAGCTGATCTTTCCTCCATGTGAAACAGGAAAGCAGCTATCAGGTTCCTCCTCTAAGACTCATCTTTAGCCCAGAAGCTTTCCCCTTATTTCACTTCCGCTTGCTCAGCTGTAATATGAGGTGGTTGGACTAAATGGTCATATTCCAGCTCTCAAGCTCTATGCTCCTACTTTAATGAACAATTAAATATGATAGAGATTTTCTTTGTCAAAAATTGATTTGAAAATGACTTGTATGCATGAGGGTACATATGTGTATTTGTGGGTGCATGTAATTCACATGGGTACATTTTCAGAATCCAAAGGGAGAACAAATTAAAATTTCATCTAATTTTTAAAGTGTGGCTCAATGAGACTTAGATTTGGTGGCTTTCTTAGCTTTTCCTTTTTTGCCAAAGCATTTCTGGAAACAAAATTTGAGGCATTTCACAGCAATTAGTACAACAGTCAACACAATAGCCAAGAGGAAAGCAATGACATCCAAGGAATGGTACTGGATCCAGTTGAGGTCATGGGCAGCAGCACGTAAATGTGGGGCCCCTTTGTTTCTCATGACGAATTCCACCCAGAATACAGCAAGGTCGAGGGGACTGATAGGCCGATCTTTGTGAAGAGCTGAGAGACGCATGATGTTTTCCTTGTAGCTAAAAAAAGTTAAAAAAGGTAGATTAATATACAAATCCTCCAATGATAGAAAGTTATTACCTCTTTGGGTTGCTCTAGAGATACCAAGCTACACAGAAGCCAAGACTTTCTTTCTTTGATGTTTTCTATTTCTTTTTCAGTGTTATTTGGTCACTTCAGAAGAAGTTAGGTTTGTAGATTCCAGAATTAAGGAATTATGGAATCATGGGATTATAGAGCTGGAAGAAACACAGAGGTCGGCTGATCAATCCTACTCCCAAAGCATAAATCCCATCTAAAACAGCCTCAAGAAGTGATCATCCAATCTCCACTTGAAGACCTCCAGGGATGGTGGATTCATATTCTTGTGGGTGTGACCCATTTCCAAAAGGAAGAACTAAAATCATAGATCAATTCTGAGATGAATGAACACATAGACAGAAGACACCAACATGGCAAAGGATCAGCTGTAGAGAGACAATATCTAAAGGAAGGGCCATCAGGTGGCCAGAAATTCATGAGTGCTAGAGCTGGAAGGAATCTCTGGGGATTATGAAGTCCAACTCCCTCATTTGACAAAAGAGGAAACTGAGGATCAGAGAGTTGAAAAGACTAGTCCATGGTCCCTCATAAAGTAAGAATAAGAGATAGGCCTTGAGATTTCAGATTGTTATTTTTCACTCAGTACATCAAGCTGGATTTCTTCAGAAGATCTTCTTACACAAAGAACAGCTGGAGGATATTGATTTATGCATTAAGGCATTGGCAGAAACATTTTAACTGTATATCAAACACAAACAGGTAAGTAATGCCTAAGAGCTTAAAGACAGTATCAGAGAATAGGATTTGAATTTCTAAACCACAATTTAAGATCTAGGAATGATAAACTTGACTAGGGATGGAATGCCTCTAATGAGGGCCAAAAATGAAATTGGCCGAAGATTTGTGAATTTGATCAAGTGGGCATTAAACAGAAAACAGTGAGGGAAGAAGAAAATTGTCTGCATATATCCACAGAACCAGACACCACAGAATTTAGCAGGTTTTGCATAAGAAGAAAAACAATTATGAAGAAGCCTACACAGAAATGTGGAATTCTATTAATTAATGATATGTGACTTATGAGTGGAATATACCAATGGAAGGATGTAACTTGTCCAAATGGAGCAGAGTAGATAAAAGAGGATGGAGTAACATTGTATATTCAATTCAATTCAGTTCAACAGGAATTTATTGAGTGTATATGAAGAAATCTACTCCTGTTGGGAAATCTACAAACTGGGATGGTGAAACATGGTGGAGAGTGTTTGGGGAGGACTGATGGAGGAAGAGACAGAGGAGTGATAGTGGAAGAATTAAACAGCAGACTGCATGGCCATAAGGAAGAATGACGGGTTCCTGAAGTGAATCACAAAGCTAGTATGGTGGCAGGATGGTAGAGCACAATGGAATCCTTCGGTTACCTGAATACCTTCTAGAAGTGGCTTCCTGCATAAGACAAAGAGCTGGAGTAACTCCTCCATTGCCTTGCTAACTTTTCAAGATGTGGAGTAAATCTCAAGAAGAACCATTCTCTTGGATCTGAATCTGATTACTGACAGGGAGCTTGTTGAAATAAACATAACAGGAAACTTGGGGGTAAAGTGAACAGTTCATTACAGTGTCTGTGGTAGAAGGGGAAATGTCAGAAATCTTCCTGATGCCCAAGATTTTGAGAGAGTGAATTTCAGAGTTCCAAAAAAAAAAATGACTAGGATACCAGGGCTTAAAGTTCAACAAAGGAAATCAGCTTAAGGAGAGAAGGCTCAAAATAATGAACCAAAATTATTTATTTCAGTGAAGAGGAGTAAAAGGTGAATTGTTTGAAGATCCTGATGTGGCTACATTGAGAGCTCATTAACTAACTCAGCTCAGTCAATCAGGAAGTGACTGTGCACCAGGCACTGGGGGAGAAGGAAAGCAAAGGTGACCAAACCCTGGATGAATCATGACAACCCTAAAGGCTACAATAAAAGGAGATTGTTGGTTAACTCAAAGGACAACAAGAAAGGGCTCTTAAAACTGTATTTGACAAATGAAATATCAAAGAAGAGACAGACCCGATAAGAGGGTGGAAGAAATGTGACTAGACCATAGTTCATGTGCATGTCTTATGGACTGCAACCTTGATATTGCTCAAGGGTATATCATGGCATTCAGAAAAACTGGAAGCTGCTGCCTTGATAAAAGCAGAATTTCTTTAATGAGGATACCTGAACAGACTGGATCAGGAGTCTTATGTTCAGACTGGGTACTCGGTTTTGTGAAAGACACTAACAAAGTCAAGCACATACAGAGGAAGGTGATCAGGATGGTGAGTGGACTTGAATATGAATTGACTGAGAGAACTGGGCATCGTTTAGTCTAGAGAAGAGAAGACTTAAGGACGACATGACAGTTGCCTTCAAGATTTGAGGGACTGCCACACAGAAGGGAGACTAGACTTGTCTTGGCTGGTCCCTGAGGGTGGAAGTAGGAGCAGGGGAGGGAGACATACTGAAACAGATTTCCAGTTGTCAATTACAGCCATCCCAAGGTGCAAGGTGTAATTCCTAGGAGGTCATCAAGTCCCAAGTATTTGAGGTTTTAACACATGTCAAATAGAACTGCTTGTTAGGAAGTCACAGAGGGCATTTGTGCTCAGAGATGTTTGTTTTGAATACTTGTGCTCCTATGTTGTGAGGGAGGGTTCTTTTGGGGGTTAGGAGAAGATACGTTGGAAAGTGACAGCAATGTACAAAAAGAGCCCCCATAAGCTGTTAACTTAAAATATAATCAAAATGGATGATTGTTTCCCAATTTATCTTACTAGAAATCTGGAGTTGTATAAATTAAGTTGAAGGGGCACAGCAGCATTAGAGGTATCTATAGAAAATGGCCATGCCATCCCAACCTGCTTTCTTACCTTTTATCATTGATAACCGTCTTCAGTGCCTTGCTGAGATCATCAGATGTCATTTCCAGGACATTCAGGGTCACCCCTGCCCCTCTTGATTCCATGCGTTTAGCATTGTCCATCTGATCTCCAAACAAAGGCATCAGCACCATTGGCACTCCATTACACAGCCCTTCATAGATCCCGTGAGAGCCAGCATGAGTGATGAATGCCCGGGTCTTTGGGTGAGCTTAGGAAGGAAAATAGAGAAAGAATTTCTCTATAGCTTGGTAATCTATTAGCTTTCAGGGAATAGAATATTTCACAATCTGAAGGCACTATAAACAGTCAATGTTACTATTATCTATCGTGGGAAATCAGAGTATTTTTCTAAAATACACTTCATTGGCCAAATACTAGAGAACACTCACAGGCTTGGTCGCACGATGGTATTATGCAAGCTCTGCTATTTGTCCATTTACGTGCCCCGTGGCATGCTTTGTTGTTGGTCAGTTGTTTCAGTTCTATCTGACTCTTTGTGGACCCATCTGGGGTTTTCTTGGCAAAGACACTAGAATGCTTCGCCATTTCCTTCTCCATCTCATTTTACAGATGAGGAAACTGAGGCAAATCGAGTTAGCTGACTTGCCCAGGTCACACAGCTGGTAGTAACTGAGGCTAGATTTGAACCCAGGTCTTCTTGACTCCAGACTCAGTGCTCTATCCACTGCACCCCCCAGCTGCCCAATAGGAATTCTGCCCAAAATGTAATTCTTAACCTGGGACAGTGGTGAAAATGGTTCTGAGCTTTAAAACTTGCCTTCCCAGAATCCTCCTTTGATGACAGATGACTTCTAGCTACCATTTAGACCCTCCCTACCACCCCATAGCACCTTTAGGTAAGTACAATGATTTTACTACAATTAATTTACTTGAAGGCCATTTCATTAAAGGTAATACTCCTATGTATCAGCTGGGCCAAACAATATTGGATTGAGGCATTGTGATGTCACAACAGCAAGGTTTTCTTTTTATTACAAATTTGGGCAAATAGTCCTTAGGCTAATTGTTTTCAGGAAAGTTGACCTTCAGTCATTATTATGCTTACTGACTCATATCTATGGACCCAGAAAGGAGCGATCAAAGTCACTTGTCAACTCCCATATCTGACCCTCTTCATAGCCTCTGTGTACGGTCAGAGCTCCCAAAGTTCCAGAGTTGAAAGAATCAGAGAATCTTAGAGTTAGTCCATCTAGTCCAACCTATTACCACTGACACTCATATCTTTTTTGCCTGAAGAAAGTCTGTGGATTTCTATGGACTATGAGCTTGAGTTAACCAGAAGCTTGTGCAAATTCACAGTGCATCACTGAACCTTGACTTTGTCAGACATATGGAACATTGTGCTCTGTGCAGGGTGCCACATTTTAGAATGGACATTGATAAGCTGGAAAGCATCCAGAAGAAGGTGACCTGGAGGGTGAATGGCTTTGAATCCGTGCTATATCAGGAATGATTAAGGAAATGGGGAAATTGAACCTGGAGAAGGGAATACTCAAAGGAGTATATGAGACCTGTCTTCAAGTATGTGAAGGATGGCCATGGATCAGAGGAATTAGCCCTTATTGCTTGGCCCAGAAGGCTAAATTAGAAACTGAGCAAAAAGATGATTCAGCCCTGATAACAGGAAAAACTTGATAACACCGAGACTCTCCCAAAGCTGAAAGGAAGGAATGCCTTGGGAGGTTGTGGGTATGTTTTCACTGGAGCTCTTCAGTCAAAGAAAAAACGATCTCTTGTAAGGGACATCATTAAAGGATTCCTACAGAGGTCCAGGTTGGATTAACTGGCCTTGGAGGGGTTGTCCCTCCCAGTACTGATAATAACTATGATTCTGCATGTACCTTATCAATTAAAAACCATTAGAGCTGCCCCTGGTTCTGTCTACGGATGGTCACTTGGATATAGTCTACAGACACCACTGTACCCTCACTTTAACATTCACACTTCATCCCTCCTACCCCCACCACATGCTTGAGCACATACCAAGCAGATCATTCTGTGGAAGCCATTTCACAAGTTTGGTGTTCTTGGACAGATTAGATGGTGGATTTCCAGTATACCGCCACAATACCTTGAAAGAGCAAAAAGTAAAGAATTTGAGAAAAACCCATGACACAGTTTTAGTCTGGTAGCAGAAGCTGTGAAAACTATTGACTTGAGATGACTGTATAGAGCCTTCAGCTACTCCACCTAAGATAAAACACATCCTTCATTTTAGGCCTATCTCCCATTTGTGCTCTTTGGGAAAATATACCTACTTGAAGCAAGAAATCAAATCCCTTGGTTCACTGGCTAGTTTCTGGAAGTCTGAGGTTACTGTCGCTCCTTACTGATATGGTAGCCCAGGTCAGAGTGACCTGAATAAAGGTTGGGATAGAAAGAGTTATGACCATACTTTTCCCTGAAGATTTTGGAATTTAGATATGGTATAGAAGCCACAGACAACATATCTATAACTTGTTCTAAATCCCTTTAATTATCTCCCTTTTGCATGCATCCCTGACTCATTCTAAAAAGCTGTTCTTTTTTGCCTCAGGATGAATGTCATTTCTAACTCACAAGAAAGAAGTATGGTATATTTGGAGTTAGCAGACCTGGGTTCAAAGCCCAGGTTGCCACTTGATTGATACCAGTGTGATCTTGGATGGACCTCTTTGGGGTTTTCTCATCTATAAAATGAGAAAGTTGAGCTAGAAGGCCTTCATAAGTCTTTGGGGGCAATATTCCACCATTAAATTGAGTATTCATTTAATAACAAAATTCCAAAATGGATGTGATTTGTAAGTGGTCCAAAGTATTTTGAAAATGGTAAGAGAATAATTTGTAGGACCTAGGGGTGGGATGTAGTGGGTAGAGAGCCTTGCATTTAGAGCCAGGAGAATTAAGGGCTAATCCTAGCTCTGTTACTTATTACCTATGGGACAGTGGTCAGGCATTTTATCTCTCTGGGCCTCAGTTTCTTCATTTGTAAAATGGAGAAAAGTTGGTTTTGATGACCTCTAAGGTATCTTCCAGGTCCAAGTCTAGACTTCCACGATGCTATTCAGATACTCAATCCATTAAACAGACACCACAATGTCCAATCTGATATTTTTACTAAGCAGCCAACTTTTTAGTCCTACCCAAAATATATCAAACAAAAACAAATATCCAATAAAGTCTGTTCTGTCTTACTTTTAAAATGCATTTGTAAGGAGGATAGTTAAGTGAACTTTGCCTAAATTCAATGGAACTTGCCTGGGAGGTAGAGGAAGAGAGTTTGACAGTGAAACTTCAAACCCATGTCCTAGTAAAGACAACTTATTTGGGTCCTGGGTGGGTATGGATTAGACTTTGTCTAGAGACATAAATGAATAGCAGAGTGTTGTCCTTACTGTCTGAGGTATTGTGCCCAAAGCTTCAGCGATTTCCATGGCTTTGGTCATTGGGATTTCTGAGACCATAGAGCCCAAGGAGAAGACCACAACTCCATGTTCCCCAGAAGCATTCACATAAGCTTCAAATTCCTAAAATGAGAGGAAAGCATCTAATTTAATGAATATCATACAATTTGTGCACAATATCCTTCTCTGAGCCCAGAGAAAGCCTGGTTCTGAAAAAGAAAAAAAGCAAGGCAATGTGGTTAAAGGGATAGCAGACCAAGAAAGAAGAAATCATAGTTACTAAAAACCTGATAGATGTCAACTCCTTCCCACAATGACTGAGTAAACTCCCCACAAGTCAACCATTCCTTTCCATCATTTTTGTTTGCTTTTTAATGTTTTATTTTTATTTATTTCTTTTTTTACATCATTTCACTTCCTAAGGTGCCAGATCCCACTATGTGAAAGGAAGATGAGGAAAACTTACATTGGTGTTGAGTTGTTATACTTTACAGTTTATCTTATCCTTACCACAAATCCATAAAGATGGTGGGTCCCCATTTTTAGATGAAAAAAAAAATTGGTCTCAGAGAAATTAAATGACTTGCCTAAAGCTATTCAGCTAGTAAATGAATAAAGTCTAGTCCCTGTTCCCCGGGCAGACCCCATTCTGAATATTTGGAATATTTCATAAAGGAGAATAACATGCAAGAGCATGCCAAATGCCAGGATGATGAGAAACCTGTCAATTATCAATCTTCAAATATTTAAAGGAGAAGGATTTCTCTTGTTCTTGTTTCTCCATGAACCAACGGATTAATCAAGAAGCGCTTACTAAACACTCACCCTGTTGATAGGCACCATGTTGAGTCCTGGGGATGGAAAGAAATAGTCTGTGGCCCCAAGGAACTCAAATTATATCAGCAAATGATAAAACCAGGATGGGTGGAGGAGTTTCCATGTATATGGAGCACTGGAGTTGTTGACTGAGGGCTTGGGTTTGAACTCCTACTGTCCACGTACAAGCTTTGTCATGGTCAAGTTGCTAACCTATCTGCATTTCATACTCCTGATATCTAGCAATAATGGCAACAAGAATGATGGTGATCATGACAATAGCGAGTATTTTTACTTTGCTTATTATGTGCCAGGTAATGTGCTAAGTAAGGTAAAATAGCTGGTTTGACTAATTGAGCTTCTCAGCATCACCTTTCTTAAAACTTCCCTCAATTCCAGAAAACCCTCCCCACCTTTCTGCCTACCTCTCCCTTTGCCTGCTTGTCCTTGCCCCAACCTGCCCCTTCCTGCCTTCCCCTGCTCGACCCCACTTGTCCCCCCTCTTCTTTCCCCCCTTTCCCTGCCACAGTCACCCGAAGTGCAATGTGCAGCTCTACTTGGTATACACAACTCATAGATTTGAGGATGAAAGGAGGAAATGGAGACAACAGACTTTAAACACCTGAACCATGCTGCATAGAGGTTACCTAGGAATGAATCAAACAGTTCTAGCTGTAGGAAGACTAAGAGATCAGAGCTAAGTGATGAAGGCCATCTTCTCTGAGTCGTTGAACCAGGGAGGGCAGGGGCCAGGGTCTAGACTGACTGTTTCTCCCTCAGGGTGCCTGGCACTCAGGGATACCTCAATATCTGACTGAATGAACAGAGGGCTGGGGAAGAGGCAGGGGGAAAATGAGAATCGATGAAGAAGCCCCTACTACAAATCACGTGAAAGGAGAAAGGGACCAGCAGAGGATGAGATGGATAGAGAATGTCATGAACATGAATTTGGACAGAGTTTGGGGGATGGTGGAGGATAGAAGGGCCTGGTGCACTATGGTCCATGGGGTCATGAAAAGTCTGACAACTGAACAACAAGTAGAATCTTGCCGCCAAAACCAAATTGAGTAAAACATCTGAGCTATTTGCATAAAGACCAAATGTGCATGCAAGCCAATAAATAATACCTTCAAGGTAGGAGAGGAGGAAGCACTCATCGCCTCAAAGTGCCTGAGCTAAGGCAGCACCAACTAGGAAGGCAGCATGATGGGGGGCACTGGCAAGTGTTAGCAAGGAAATCAGAAGACCTGGGCTCTAATTCTTGCTCTGGTCCATACAACCTTAGAGGGGTAACTTTCCATGTCTTTCCATGTTCCCAATTATCCTACATGTAAAATGGCAATACTAACTCCTTACCCAATTACTTCTTCAAGTTATTGCACAACAAAACTGAGATAACACGAAAACACCTACAACCAAATGTGGAAAGCACAATAAAATCATTAACTGATCCAATTCTCACAGTCAGGAGCCTTGAAAAAGAGGGAGGACATTGACCCAATACTCACGTGAGGCAATGGTTTTGTGTAAGCACAGTTTATTCCCCCAATGAAAACCATATTGGGCATGATTGGCGTGGGATAGTCCTTTAAAAAATCACTTCTCAGAAGCCAAATGGATCCATAGCTCAGAAGGTCCATAACCGTCACCTCTCTCTTTAGGAGATCGGAAGCAAGACGCGTATATGGGGAGTACACGAAATCACAAAGAAAGAACTGGAATATAGTAATCAGCATATTTTTAACTCTCTGCAAAAAAGTCATGTGATCTGTGCTTTCAGATAATCCTTGAGGAACGTAAGAAGGAGGATTGGGGCACTGTGTGGCATCATAGTGTAAACTGCATGGCAATCCATGCAAAAAGTAGACAGCAGGCACAGACAGATACTTGGCTACAATTGGGCCACACGGTAGGAACGGGTCTGTGAAAACAGCATCAAAATGATTGTCACCAAGGTGGGTCATCAGCTCTTTGTTATAAACCAAGTGTGAGCAGGCAGACAGAAGCAAAGTTGTGACATTTCTTATTCTCTCCTTTATTTTCAAAAAATTTTCTAAAAATGGTAATTTCTCAAAAATTTCGTGATTCATCGTACGGAAGTGGGTCTCCAAGTCTCCCATCTGGAAGGGCACTGGGTACCGGGTGAGGGTATAAAATGATGCTTCTTTAATATGTAGAGTCACTGCAGGGGCAACCACTATGATCTCATGTCCTCTTCGCTGCACCTCCTGTAGGACTCCATGCATACTGAGCCAATGACTGCCATCCTGTGGAATCACCAACAACTTGCCCCCCTCTGCAAATGCCAAGCAATAAATCCAAAGGAATAGGACATATTGAGGTTTCGGTACTCCAGACATATCTCCACCTGGTCAACATTTGCTGCATTGGAAGTACTTTGCCTGGTAGTTCTTCTTTTGCCTACTTCTCCTGTTACAGAAACTGATTTAAGTTAATATTTAATCAGGAAGCCAAACAGACAATCAAAGAGATCCATATATTTGTATGGTAGAAGTTAAAGAGTGCCCGAGAGTTGAGGTTTACCGGGTCAAAAGGTCTTGTCTGGTCTGGGGATATTCACAGTTCCCGCATACTGGGAGGCTAAGGTGATACCGAGGCTGGGTGCTCCAGGATGATTATAAGCAGTTTAATAATCACCTGGATACTTACAATAGGGTTGGTTTGGGGTGGCTAGCCAGACATATGGTGGATCCCACAAAGACCCCGAAAAAGCCCCGTGGCAGTTATAGAAGTAAGAGAAAGGGAAGAGGCAGTGTAGATTGCATCATTGCGGTTTGGCCAATGTTTTGGCTTCTAGCTTAGTATTGGGTCTGAGTCCCAGAGCCCAGGCACCAGGTCAGTGCTGCTGGTAAATGCCCGGACAGGCAAGGTCATGTACAGATCAGCGTGACCTCTCTTTGTTTTCACCAATAGGGATTCTATAGGGGTTATCTGATGCTCCTCCCCAGAGATAATCAGATATGAAAGAGGTATGCTGGACCCTGGCCTGCAAGGGATCAGATAACTTATCACCATGGGAACTCCCTCCATCAGGGCTAATCACAGCCCTCCCACACATCTGAGTGATGCCTGTCCATGGTCTCCCAGAAATAATCCAGAGAGATCTAGTTAACGCACAGCTGGTGGAGAAGTTCTAGACTCAGAATTTGAATCTCGGTCTATCCCAGTAACCCAGAATGGTAATTATACACAATCATGGCCCCAGGGGAAATTGTGAGTGTGTGTGTGTGTGTGTGTGTGTAGGGTGGGATTGATGGTATCTAAGGTCCCTTTTAATTCTAGTGCTTTGCCTCTGAGCTTACCCCCAATTTATCCCTTATCTATTTTGCTTTCACATAGTTGTTTGCCTTTCCCATGGGAGCTCCGTGAGGGCAGGGACTACTATTGTAGCTGCCTTTCGTTGTATCCTTAGTGCTTAGTATAATGCCTGGAATATAGTAAGTGCTTAATAAATGCTTGTTCATTGACCAACTGACTGACTGGCTGGGAGGAGTGGGTGTCTAGAGAGGTATATCTGAAACCAAATTTGGATGAGAACCCTCTCAAAACTGTAAAGCACAATAATATCATTAATTAATCTAATTAACACAGTCAAGAGGCTGTGGGGAGGGAGATAGGGAGGACGGTCCTAGGCAGGAGGCCCATAAATCTGCAAAACCAGCAGAATGGTGGGCACCAGTAATGGGCAAGTATTGCACAGCAAAGGGTAGGAAAGTCATGGAAATAGGGAGGCCCTCACCCATTTGCACTGTTTCCCCTTTGCAAGAGGTCAAAGGGTGGGGGCTGTCTGCATTTTACTTCAGTGGGAACCAAATCTAGGTAGTTGAAGAGAGCTGTGATGACAATGGAAGACAGTGAAGTCCCTTGATGAAGATCCTTAGGAGGATGAGGAGGCAGTGTGGTACAGTGGAGAGAACACTGACTCTGGAGACAGAGACCCTGAGTTTGGGTTCAGGCTCTGCTACCTACTACCTGTAAATAGACTTTGGGCAAGCCCCTTAGATTCTCTGGGCTCCCAACTCCTCATCTGTGAAATGAGGGGGTTGGGAAACAAGGCCTCTAAGCTCCCTTCCATCTCTCAATCGGTGATTGATGAGTCTGGGATCCTAAAACTGAAGCCAAGTGCTTGCCTGAGACCTTGTTTTGTGGCATTTCCTTCCCTCAGCTACAGCCTTGGAATGGAGGAAAGAACACAGAAATTGACATCCTCTGGGAACCTATATGCTCCAGCACAGACACATTCCATGTAGAATCATAGAATCAAGCTGATTATGAGGCTACCATGAGATCATTCACATAAACGCTCTTAGAAATTGTAATGTGCTACATAAATGTCATTGATTCGAATTCACCCTGTGCTACTCATTCCTATCTCAATACTTCCAGGGTCCATGGAATTTCACTGGTATGAGCATTTCCTCTACCGAAACAGATTGCAACCCCTCTATACCTTAGAAGGTGGTCTCTAGGAGTTGCTGAGGCACATAATTAATCATCCTGTAAAGTGGGTGATGAGTCTCTATCAATTTCTCTAGGCTACTCCTCAGGTGGCAGACATAGTCCTGGACTTGCACATGGTCTATCCAGCTTGGACCCTCTTGCTAGAACTTATTTTTTGGAGAGTTCAAGGACAAATGCTGGGAAGGAGGACTTCAGAAGATCATAACTTTAAAGAAGGGAGTCAGTCCAAATTCCCTTTATTCATAGGAGGAAACAGCCCCGAAGATGGAAAGTGACATGCCCAAAGTCACTCAGGTTGTATGTGGCATAGGTAGCCCTAGAACCAGGTCTTCAGTTTCCACTGTAACATGCTACTATAAATAAAAGGCTTAAACACTCTGGCTCCTCCACACTTCTTCAACCTCCCCTCATACACATCCATAATTGCAATTATACATAGTTTAAGGCTTCCTCATTTAGAGAGAACAAAGCTAATTGGCATCCTTTCCCTTAGACAAGTTTCTATGAAATGTGGCAGCAAATATGTCTTGTGAGGAAAAGAAAAATGAAGCATCCTAATTTAGAGAGGTGGGGAAAGGAGTCTTCAAGCTTCTAACAATGCACATGACTGCCAAGTTAGCACAGGTAGTTAAGGGATGAATGACATACAAGTCTCTATTCAGGTTTTATAGGGCAAAGACCTTGTACACACAGTTCTTGTTTACCTTACTACTCGTTTCTCAATTATCTCTATGACCTCAGCCTCAGGTTTACAGATTGCGGAAAGAAATAGGAAAAGTTTCCATCTAGAGTGATTGCTTTGGAAAGCTTATGCAAGGTGTTTTCCTCTTTGTGTGTGGACATTTTGCTTACTTAAAGGGAGAGAAAAAATTATATAATACATACTGATAAAATTAGCTTGAGAAGAGACATAGTCTATCAGATAAAATGATCAGGAGATGCATTATTCTGCGGACTTGAGGGAGAATTGCTCCTTAAATGAAATGTACTGAGAAGTGTATAAGATATAGCATATATGGCATGGAGGAAGAGGTAGGGGTTATGGATATCACATGAACCTGATTTTTGTGTATATCTGATAAAGGAAGATTGAACACAATTATGCATAAACACAGAGATTTCATTACAAAAATACATTAAACTCAAGAGGGAAATGGGAAACAGGGATGAGGGGAATGGAGAAAGGGCTAAGAGGGAGGGCATGATGAATAAAGGAATAGCCATAGCAAAATGAGCTTGAATACTTGAAGAAGGAATGTGGAGGGAATATTAAAATGAAAGGAAGAAAGAAGAAAAACCTGAGATCAGAGAGAGGTAAGGAGAAGAAAAGGGCTACAACAGAGAGGAAACAGGCTTTTTCACTTATAAGATCCCAAGTGTCAGGCAAATTTCCTCTTTTCTACCATCTTCTTTTTTGTAAAGAGGGAGGTGGGAGAAAAAAATTACAGGAGGACAGGATGGAGGGAAATATTAAATTAAAAATCACGACTATTATAATGTGAATAAGATGAACTCACCCATGAAATGAAACAAGATGATAAAATGGATTAGAAAGCAGAATCTCACCCTTGAAAACATAAGAATTCACACAGTCAAAATGAAAGACTAGAGTAAAACCTAGTATGTTTCAGCTAAACTGAAAAAAAAAAAGCGGGGTGGTAACCATGATTTTAGATAAGGCAAAGACAGCACAGATGATTAATAAATATCAATACCTAATATGTATACACCTAATAACATAACATCTAAATATTTTTAAAAAGTTAATTAAATTATAGGGAGAAATAGATAATAAAACTATAACAGTGGGGGATCTTGATATATTCTTTACAGATCTAGGCAAATCTAACCAGAAAATACACAAGAAAGAAGCTAAGGACTTGAATAGAACTTTAGAAAAATTGAAAAGATGGCTCTTTAGCAACCACTGAATGGTAATAGAAAGAAATTTCTCTGCCTCTCAGGTGTACATGACAACTTAAAAAAATGATTATATATTGGAGCATAAATACTTCACCCAAAATGTAGAAAAGCAGAAACACCAAATACATAATTTAATGATCACAAAGTAATACAATTTATATTCAACAAAAAATTGAAGAAATAATTTAAAGATAATTGAAGACTAAATAACATAATTTTAAAGTCAAACCACAAAAGTAGTATTTATTAAGTGCCTATTATGTGTCAGGAACTGTGTTAAAAACTAGACATACAAAGAAAGACAAACAACAACAGACTCTATTCTTTTTTTTTTTTTTTTGGTGAGGCAATCAGAGTTAAATGACTTGCCCAGGGTCACACAACTAGGAAGTGTCCAGTGTCTGAGGCTGGATTTGAACACAGGTCCCCCTAACTCCAGGGCTGGTGAATAGTCTCTATTCTTGAGGAGCTCAGAGTCTAAAAGGAGGGGGGGACAACATGCAAACAACTATATACAGACAAGATATATACAGGATAAATTGAAGGTAGTCTCAGAAGGAAGGCACTAAGATTAAGTGTGAGTAGTAAAGGCATTTTGCAGACAGTAGAGATGAAGTGGGAGAGAGTTCCAGGCATGAGAGACAATCAGAGAAAATGCACAGACTCAGGAGATTGCTTGTCAAGGAGACCAGTGTTACTGGACTGCAGAGCACATGGAAGGAGGTAGAGTGCAAGAAGACAGAAAGGTAGGAAGGGGCCAAGTTATGATCAATTTTAAAAGCCAACCAGAGGATTTTATATTTGGTCTTAAAGGCAGTAGGGAGCCTTGGAGGTTTATTGAATGGCGATAGGACCGTGATATGTTCACGACTTCAGTTTAGTAGCTGAGTGAAGATGAATTGGAATGGAGAGAGACTTGAGGCAGGGAGAATAACCAGAAACTATTGTAACAGTCCATATGAGATGATGACAGCCTTCAGCAAGTGGCATCAGC